GCCTGCTCGCACCCGTATCAATCACCCAAGCCAACTCTCCAATGTTGTCATACATAGACGATGCATAGTGCTGCTCATGTTCATCTATATTTGTGGCAAAATTCACAAAGTGTTCTCTCTCACCTTCTATATGACTGCCTTGACTTTCTACATTATTTTTTCCAAGGATCATAGCTATCTGTTTGGCTAGCAGATTAATGTCATTCATTGATCTATTTGCTGACCCATGCATGATATGATTTATTTCCTTCATTTCTGCCAAGTTAGCCATTCTTTTACTTTTTTTGTCCTTCAATTCTTTGAACCAATCCAGATATCCATGGATTTTAAAGCATGTGGACTTGTTATGTCCCTTCTATCCACAGTTCTCACATATCAACTTGGCCTTTTCTTCTCTAGACAGTCTTTGTGCTCCTCTTCCCCTACCAAAACCGAATTGGCCATTAGAAGGCTTGATGTTGTTCCCTCTTCCAAATGAGATATTTGACTTGAAAGCCATAGCCATTCCATAATTGAAATCATCACCAGAAAGCTGTACCGATCTCTGCCTTTCAGCAGATAACATCATCGAAAAGGCCTTAGTAACAGAAGGCAGTGGATCCATCAATAAGATCTGGTTCTTAACATGATTATAGCTTTCATTCAATCTCACATTTACATATCAATTGAGGTACTAAGCTCCCATACTCATCCCACATCATTTTCAGCTTATTGAAGTACAGCATAACCGAATCACTACCATGTTTTAAATTCGAGATATCTCTTTGTAGTTGATAAATCAAAGGACCATTACTCTCCCCAAAGCTTTGACATATCTCTTCCCACAGTTCTCTAGCAGATTCGGCATAAACAAATCCACCAATTATATCCTTAGAAAGTGAATTGAGGATCCAGGAAATTACCATACAGTCGACTCTTCCACTTCACAAAATCAGCATCTCCTACGTTGGGCGATTGAACTGAGCCATCAATGAACGCCATCTTCGTCTTCGCACCAAGCACGATCATCATAGATCTCTTCCAAGCTCTAAAATTAGGTCCTATGAGAGGATGTGATACAAGCTGCAACCCGGGATGATCGGAGCCATGGAGGAATAACAGATTTTTATTCGGATCGTCTGTGCCGGAGCTCGTCGCCACATTAAGTGATGGCCAAGCTTCATTGCGATTGCGATTCACCATTGAAGATTTCTTCGAGAATCACAAGTTAGCCCTGCTCTGGATACTATGTGGAAATTTTGGAATGAAATATGTTTGTCCCATTTTTGTTGCGTTTTTTCGTTGTTATTTTTCCTTTATTTTCTCCCATTTTAGGTCTTTGTGTCGATTTTTAGTTTGGTTTTCCGTGTGTTGCGTGTTTTCATCTATTTGGAGTGTTTTCGGTGTTTATCACTTTGTTTTTCGTTTTCTCCGTTTTTGGTTTCGTTTTATGATGTGCAGCAGGCCCGAGGCGTGAAGTCCCAACCATCCCTTCTTCTCCGCACGCACGTCATCTTTACCACACCTCGGCAGCAACCCGAGCTCCACGTCGCAGCACTTTTCCATGCAGAACCTCCCCGCCGTGAAGAGCACCAGACCTCACCGCGCCGCGAACATGCCACGAGATGGACAGTGACCAGGTTCAGCTGTGTCGTGCCGGGAAGAAGCTGTCCACCGCGCCGCGCCATGCTCCCACGCCGTGAAGGGCCCCACTGCCGCGTCGTGACCTCGCCACAAGACGGACAGAAGGTGCCTGCTGCTCTGTCGCGCCGCGAGCTCCACCGCATCGTGCCACCTGAAGCTCCGCACCTGAAGACCTCCCTGCCGCGCCGCGTTGGAGTGCCGCGCCGTGAAGGACTGTCCCGCCGCGCTGCGCCCATGTGCCGCGCCGTGAAGAGCTGTTGTATCGCGCCCATGACAGATCCCGCGCCGCGACCAAGACCCCTATCGCGCCGTGCCAATGCCCCGCGCCACGTCACCTGTGCCAAGGGCGTTCTCTCCACGTCGTGATATTCCCGCGCGCCGCGCCATGGTCCACTCCCACGCTCGTGATGCTGCACCGCGCCGCGGCGAACCTATTTTTTTACGCCATGAGCTGTTCATATAAATATGTGCGTACAAGATCAAAAAAAATGATCTCTTGACCGGGTGAAAACCCTAGGTCCCGAGAAAATTCACGAACACTCTTTCTCCCCCCTTTCTTCTTCTTTTGTCGATTATTCCTCTTCTCATAATCATCTTCTTCTATTTTTCATCTATAATTTATCCTTGCTTTCTGGATTAAGCTTGTAACTGAAATTCAACACGTGAATTTGAGATTAATCGTAAGTTTCCTTTCTCTTCTATTTAATTCATGTATAATGGTTGAATTGGGAGAAATGAATTATTGTGTTGAATTCAATTTGCGTAGCTAATTTTGATTTCTAGGGATAGGGGATGATTGTTCTTGTTTAACGTGTAATTGTCGGGCTTGATTTGTTCATTCTTATGTGCGTTGTTTTGATAAGGAATTGATGATTTTGTATTCGATAGATTAATATAATTGAAAAGTGACATTTCGATCTTGCCGTTGGTGACAGTTGGATGTTAATTTGTCGAGTTAGGGTTTGTCAATTCTATATGATTAGTTGATTAAACACCTTCTAATTGGCTTAGCGGCTTTCAGAACCGAAATGGGAGAAGTCGTGGAACCTAGGCTTGCATGAGGTAGATGATTTCGTAACTGAATAGTCTATATGTTTTGGATTGAATTACGTGCTTGTTGATGACCCGTCCCTTGTTACGAAAAGTTATTGGGATTGGGATAATTGGCTTGTGTTGTATGCTCGAGTTTGTTCGTCTATGTTCAATCCCTTGTTACGAAGAGTTATTGGTAGCGAACCGCTAGATGTCTAAGCGAGAGTGTCAATCTCGAACTGAACGATTAATTGCCCGACTTTGCTACAACTTGAATTAATTATCCCCGATTCCCTAGCTTCTCCATCTTTATTTCGTTCACATTTTTAGGTAGATTCATGCTTTTTATTATTTCGTTCAACCATATAATCAATCAAAACATAGTCAATCGTAGGGTTCGACTCCCTCGGAATTAGAAATAAAAACTACTCTAACATAATAAATAAAAATAAATAAAAGATAAAAAGAGAAAGAGGTGCGGTCTCCCTCCGCTTGATCGGGTCCTCGTATCTGTACACAGTCCGTGCGGCTCCTTTTTTTCTTCCTTTTCTCTGCGTTCTCAAATAAATCTGCTTTCTTTTAGTTGTCTGGCGGCTGCCCAATAATTCTCCCCAAAATCTCTCCTTTTATTTTCACTTAATGGGCTGCGTGTCCTCTCTTTAAATAAATCATATGGATGCTGAGTGGTTACATCTCAAATTCAAACAATCCTGGTGGTCTCCTCCATTTAATTCCCAATCAAATTATTTCCTTGGTAGCCCAAAATTTATTTGGCCCAATTGTATTCATGTCCTGGCCCGCATTACGTGAATTGTAGGGGCTTCACTACTAAATTGGACGTCTGAGTATGGGGTGCTGCTGGGTCAGTACGGGACATCCTCATACTTTGCTGGAAAACTTTCTTCGTCCTTCTTCGTGCATCCATACATCATCGTGCAATCAGAAATAGTCCCAAAACTGCTGAAAATAAATATCAAAGTACAAAAAAAATCCATCTAACAAATAAATAAGTCGAAAGACATATAAGTGCGACAAAATTAAGCATATAAAAATACGCTAATAATATATAATATACACACTTTTTTCGACCAATCATATGTTTAGGATTTATTTTCTATTTATGTGCTATCGATACCCAAGCTGAATTCCGAACAGCCTTCCTCGTGAGATCGACCCGGGGAACGAATCTTTTGATTCGGTACTCGATAAAGAGAATAATTTGTGCTACAACAAAATGTAAAAGCAAAAATATCCGTTCTCTGTTAATTTTCCCAAAATCCATTTTTCATTCACTGAGGCGCGACTATTTAAAGTAACCCGCTCAAATATTCAAACTTACAATTACTTAACCAAACGACACCGTTTGGCTTCTGAAGAGAGAAAAAGAAAGGAACAGGAAAAATGCACAATCCCTGTTACAACTTATTCTAGAAATTGAGTACATATTCTCCATATATTCATCAAGATGAAGACAAAAATATCTGACTATTTATAAACTAAACACACCAATAGTTTGAACAGACTATAGTTTAAACAATCAAGGCCCATCCATGGGACTGATTGCAAGAGAGGGAGTCTTGCCTATTTATAGTCCTCTATTAAACTATCCAGAACTACCTAGTCTGATATCTCGCGCTTCCCTAACACTTCCTAATATTAACAATAATGTTCAACATTGATCTACATATGTTTAATCCCTACTACAATAATCTACTTGTAATCTCAACTACTTCCTAATATTAACAACAATGTTCTACATTCATCTACACATGTTTAATCCCTACTACAATAATCTACTTGTGATCTCAACCACTTCTTAATATTAACAACAATGTTCTACATTCACCTACACATGTTTAATCCCTACTACAATAATCTACTTGTGATCTCAACCAAAATCAAGTATCTTCTTCAAGCTTCATTCGATAACTGACTTATGAAAA